TCTGGATCATAATGCATCAAAACTTTTTGTGAACACAATTCTTTTTTAATGTTTAGAAAAGCCTCCTGACAATCATTCGTCCAAACCCATTTTGAGTTTTTCTTAGTTAATTGATATAAGGCATTTGCGATTGTCGCTAATTTAGGGCAAAATTTTCGATAAAAATTAACTTATCCCAAAAAGCTTTGAATTTCCTGGACATTTCTGGGTCTTGGGGCTTTTGCAATTGCTGATATTTTTTCATCAGTTTTATGTCTACCATTAGCATTAATTTGATGACCTAAAAATTTTATCTCATTCTGAAAAAATTTACTTTTCTCTAAAATTTAATTTCAGTCCATGAGTTTTACATTTCTCAAAGAAATTTTTTAAAGTACTTAAATGTACCTCATCATCCTCCCCTGTTATTCACGCATCATCCATGAAGACTTTACACCCTTCCATTCCGTGGAATAGTCTACGTAACATTGGTAGATTGCCGGCACTGCATTTAGCCCGAACACTATTCTCTTATATAATCCCTTCTGTGTGTTTATTGTTAGCAATTTGTGAGTCAAAGGGTGTACTTTCATTTGTAAATAAGCATGTTTAAAATCAATTTTTGAAAAATGCTTCCCCCACTCAAACATGAAAATATTTAGTCAGTGGTCGGCAAAGGGTGTTGAAGTGTAACAATATTTGGGTTTACTGTCACCGAGTAGTCAGTCGTATAGAACCGTCCAGCTTAATTGCTGGTACTACCAGGTTGCCCATTCCGACGTTTCAACCTTTTCGATTATACCCTCTTTTCCAAGCGATCAATTTCTTCATCTATCCGGCCTTTTAACGTAAATGCTACTTGCCCAGCTCTACAAAATTTTGGTGAAACATTTGGCTTCAATTCAAATTGAACCTCATAATTTTTTATCTCTCCTAATTTTCCGTCAAAAATTTTTCCAATAATTTATTTAAACTACTCTTTTGTGAAACAGAAATTGACTTCATTGAGGACCAATCTAAATTTATCTTTGAAAACCTTCTCAACCAAATATTGTATCAAGGTTTTCTTTAACAATGTAAAGATTTAAGTTTTTATTCTACCTTAACTGTAGTAAATCCTATAGGTATCAGTTTTTCTCCATTATATGTTTTAAATACCAGACTTGTATTTTTAATTTTCGTTTTTGAAATTTGCCAGAAATTTTTTTAACTCATTACCGATACTGCACCCCCCTGTATCCAGTTCCACAGCTACCGGTTTTCCTTTTATGTTCACTTGGACCATTATGGGCGGTTTCCTATTTTTCACCTCATTGGAACGTATGCTGTTTATAGGAACTGTGTTTTCATTTCCTATATTTAATTGTTTTTGTTTCGCTTTCATTTTTTTAGCGTTGTAGCATGCTCTTTCAATGCGCCCTATTTTCTTACAAAAATTTAAATTTACAAGAATTTCTATCAGTCCCTGTACATCCCGAACACAATTAGCCTTTAGCACTCTTACTGCAAAGTTTTGTTTTTCAAACTTTTGTTTTGGAGTGACTGAGATTTACTTTTATTCCTGGCACTAAATTCTTTAATTTCCACTGGATTCCCAATTATTTCATTTGCACCTTTTAATGCTTTTTCCATCGCCAAAGCTATTTTTAAAGTGTGATTTAAGCTGATATTATCCAGCTCAAAAATTCTATCCAGAATAGCTCTATCTCTAAGTCCACTAACAAATACATTCCGCAACATTATATTTAACATATTCTGATCATAAGCAAACAGTATGGCAAGTTACCTTAACTCTGCTATATACATACTAATTGTTTCCCCCTCATGCTGCTTTCGATTTAAAAATACATATCTGCCAGGAATTATAAGTGGCTTAGGATTTAAATTATTTCTCAATGTTGTTTTTAACACATCATAACCTTTATCGAAAAGACTATCAGGAGCCAGCAAGTTTTTTAAGAGACTATATATTTTTCTGGACAAACTGGAAATCAATACTTTCCCATGCTTATCCTGTGAAACATTTTGTATATCTAAATAACTTTCGAATCTCTCTAGAAATGAACCAAACTATTCTTTATGTTCATTATATTTTTTAAACTGAACCAAAAGTTTCGAATTGTTCATTTATGGAGTAATGACTGAAGTAAGTCTCTCCTAAGAGCTCTATTCTTCGCTATTAACTCAGTTACACGCTGCTCCATGATCTTCTGAAAGAAAAATGATTATAAAAGCTTTACCTCGAGCAGTCTTTGGGGAATCCAATAATCCTTGTTGAGATTGCATTAGGCACATTTTTTTTAAATCATACATTCATCATCGCCAGCTATTATGGATCATTCACATACACACTTATATCTACAGCTACTCGCATTCCAGTCATTTTCTTACTGTGCGCGCTTCAATGCCTGGCACTGTGCCAGCTTTAAGTCCAATTATGATATAACACATCAATAGTTCTCAATATACCACATATAATAGCATTAAACTGGTAAATATTTAAGTCTAACTGACAAGTGCAGACAATTTAAAAATCAAAACCTCGGGACTGGTAATTATTATTAAAAATTCCCAGTGTTACGTTGCAAAATTAAACATACGGAAAAATTTGGCTGTGACGAGATTTCTTTGGATAGAATAGAGATCAAAAGTCTCACTTTTGAAGGCAATTTTGCCTTCACTTACACAAGTCAAAAACTTTGCCACCATATCCTCACCAGATGCAGCATGGATGGCTGCAAGAAATCCTCAATTTCAATTAGTCAAAATCGCACAAAATCAACACAACCTGATGCTATCTTTACAAAACTCCACAGACATCTTAGTAAAATGCTCCAAACTTACTACTGGTTTATTTAGAAAGTTAAAATCTACTCTAACCAACCATTTATTATTTTAAGCCCCCTAAACCAACTAGAGCCCAGCAACAATTTGTCAAAAATTCCGGAAAAAGAATATCCCAAAGAAAAACATCTTTTGTTTGGTTAGCCCTGAACCTTTTCTCTGCTTCACAGAAGAGGGAGGAAAAGCCAACTTCCCACTTTTTAACCAACTGGGGGGAAGACCCTCTTCAAGATTTACAGTTCAGCCAAGTTCCATATGACTGCCTCTTTGCAAAAGTCACACCTTGCATCAGCTTTTTTTTCTTCGTTAAAGCAAGCTATTCTAAACTTTGGATTAAAAAAAAATAGAAGATTTTAATGAATTCATTTCAGATTTATATTCTTTAATAATTACTACACATTAATTACATTTTTTTTTCAATTACAATTCGTACATGACACAAAGCTATCGTAGTTTAAAAAAAAAAAAAAAAACTACGGTAGCTTTTTCACTTTTGCTAAAAAATAATTTGAAAACTGTGCTTTATAACATTTATTATCTTGTTTATTTTTCAGAATCAAAACACTGATAAATTGCCCAAGATGAAAGGAGAAAATTAAAATAGCAATATTTTTTTAAAGTTACATTAAAATAAACATTATCATTATTTTAATGGTATCTTATCAAAGTTATTATGTAAAAAAAAGATTATAAAATTTGTGAACTCCCTAATACAAAAACTTTTTAGGCAAATTAAATCTTAAAATCCCTAAAAATAATATTTTGCTATGCATGTAATTATTTTGTTATGCATCACCAAATTTAGTAATGCATAACAAAATTTTCATATTACAGAAAGGGGAAAGTTATTTCTCAAGTGTTAGAAAAGAATAAATTTAAATGATACCTGAATGTCTACCAAGAGTATGCAAATCAAACACATACTTGGCAGTAAACTGCCAAACTGGCAGTTTTCGATACCTTTACAAAAACTAAAAACTTACTTTTACCTTCATGATTGTAAAACTGGAAGAGTTTTCATAAATTCATAAAAATTAGTACATATGAATTTTATTTAGTCACCCTATAGCTAAGGTAGTTAAAATTCTCCATGTAAATATGTGACCCTTGCCATATTTAGATTTTCCTAATACTGACAAATGTTAAAATATCATCCTCCTTTTTAAATCTTTTGTTACACCTTTGAAAAAGTTTAAATATACTGATAACAGTAAGTAAAAATTAGATCTTTATGAAGTTCACATTTTAACCTTCATGAAGGTCATGCTTTTGTCACAGTATGACCTTCAATAATATCAAATTTTTCATCAGATCATGCTTCTAAGCATGGCCGTATGGTCAAGATTGAAATAAAAAAAAAAAAAAAAAAAAAAAAAGTATTTTCAGTGCAGACAGTTACCATGTTTAGAATATCTGTTTTGAAAACATCAGATGAATAACCAATCAGGCATCCAGAAACTTTCATTCTAGGATAGCCGACGCTTCTTTGTCATTTACAACATTAATTTGCGATACTTCTGTTATGAGCTGTGCAAGTGATTCAGTATTTATCCAAAATGTTAACGTATACTCAGAACAATAGTCATTTAAAAAAGGGGAGTGAGTTAGATGAGCAAAATTAAGGACTTTCTGCTAATTTTGGCTGAAATTAAGGATATTTAAAGAACAAAATCATTTTTGAAAAAACCTAAGGACTCTTTCAAGGACTGCATAAAGCTCGTTTCTATTGCAGTCAGAATGCAATGATGCCCATTGAGAGATTTGATAGTTATGATGTATAAATATTTCAACCAATATTCTAATTGATGTCAGAAATTCCTCACTAGAAGATCATCTTCTGAGAAGCAGGTCACTTGTTGCAAGAATGTCTTTCAAATAATACTATTAAATTTAATACTAATAAAATAAACTTCCATAGCAGCTTATACACATAATTCTATTTTATGTAAACTTATTCTCTGTTAACCTATAAGGTATTTTCTCTCTCCTTTCTACATGCCTTCATGGTGTAACTGGAAGCATACCCAACGTGCATTTGAGAGGGCCAGGGTCCAAGTCCCGGCAAGGGCACTGCACATTTTTCATGTCTCCTCCTTCAAAATAACATAATGTGTCTAAAACAAAGGGGGAAAATTATTTTTTAAACGAACTGTTTACAATGAAATGTATATCTATACCTTCAGAAAGACAGGTGATTTATCCTCTAAATGAGGACAAGATGACCAGAACCATTTGGGTAAGAGTCCAGTCTTTGCAGTTGAAACAAAATAGCCCAAAGCCAGAGGCTGCTGTAGGAGTTGCAATGGTTCATCTGTATTTTCAGACATACTATCACACTAAAAATAAATTTTATATTAGGTTTGAAAGCTAATTTAGGCATTTCAGAATAGAATATCAATAAAGTATTTTTATAATAGCATACCCTATTTGGACCACCATGATTAGATGAACTTAACCTGAATGAAGTATTAGGACTAGCTGGTTGAGAATTGCTATCTCGATGTGGTGAACCCTCTGGACTTTGAGGACTCTCTGTCCACTTAAAAATATCATTTATGTCAGGCCCAGTTATGTCATTATCATTTAAGCCCTCAAAAAGACCTTCATCCAGTCCTCCAGGTAAAGGATCAATATCTTCTGATGGAAAAGTTGCTTGAGATGACTAAAAAGTATAATGATGTTATTAAAATTAGGTAAAGTGACCTGATCGTACTGAAAATGCATAACTGCATAAAAAATCATAAACAAACAAATATATACTACGCACCTGTGTAGTTGCAGATGTTGGAAATACAAGAATATGAGTGTATGTTGAATTATCCGGGCTGGTTCGACTGTACATCTGCTGTCGGATATTATTAAAATGATCATCTAATGTAAACTGGTCAGACATTAATCTAAGGCTAGAATCTGGTTCAAGCGATACGAGACAAACAGAAAGGATAGATGGAGTATCCCCAATACCAGAAATTGCACATTCACCACACAGTTCTTTTAGATGCCTTGCATATGATTGTAAAGATTTTCTGCTCAGAAGTGACGCCCAAGCTTTCAGTTCTCCATGACCAAGTCTTCCAAAACGAGCAATGATTAAACGCCAGGGATGTGAAGAGGCAGATATTACTTCTAGGATGAAATCTAGTAATTTGCGAAGACCAAACTTTCGTACAGATGTTTGTTTTCTCTTATTTCTAAAAATAAAAATCACACTTACACATAATTGATCATATGACACTCAGTTCATAATTTCTATAGTATAATCTAATTTATATTTTAGAGTCTCATAATAACATAATTATTACAGCACTTTTATAAAACATTTTAAAAACTAAATAAAAATGCTTTAAATGAATGCCATTAAAAAATTCTTCACATTAAAAACATTTTTAATATTTAAAAAATTCACAATAATTTACTCATTAACTTCATAACAAATTATAAACTAAAATGAATTTGTAATATACAGTTTTATTGTGACAGAAAATTTTACACTAATTAAATCATTTATAGACCTAAAATTACCTCTTAAGGAGTATGAATTGAAATTTTAAACCCCGCTCACTTGAAAACATAAATAAAAAAAATTCTGATGTGGTTAACCCATGAACTTGTACCAGCATATGTATTATTATATTATTATGTAAATATGTAATATTATTCATACAGGAAAATAAAATGTAAAAAAAGACTGTTTAGTAAAAACAATTAAATTTAGGCTAATAATTTTTAAAATATTAAACAATATATTTCAGAAACCCATTTTAACATTTAAACACCTAGCAAATTAAATATTTTTGGCAAAACATTTTAAGTATCGCCCTCCTTTCAGCATGCCTTTGTGGTGTAATGGTAGTACACTCAGTATGTATTCGAGAGGTTCGAGTTCGAGTCCTGGCAAAGGCATTGCAATTTTTCAAATCTTCCGCTTTCAAAAAAAAAAAAAAAAAGGACTGTTTAAAGTTAATATCAAATAAAAGAGTAACATGTGACAAATACCACATTTTGGGAATCTTTCCACACAAAATAATGTTACTCTCTAAGCTTTTTTAAAAAAATCGTGATTATTGTTATTACATAAATGCCAGCCTTGAAATATAAAAAAAGAGCAGTTTCCAGGCTGCCTGGCAGCATCATTTCAAAAGAAAAAGACTTAAATTCATCAGATTATTCAATTAATTATAATGTTCTGATGAAAACTTTATTGAAATTTAATTAGATATTCAAAATTTTATAGTCTTTGGCTAATTTCATAGTGTAATTTTCTTACCTTTTTATGCTGAGAAAACCCAAAATATTAATTTATCAAGACTTTTAAAGATGAGCAAAATAAACTTAATAATTAATGTATGGAAAGTTAAAAAAAGTTGGAGGAGACAGTTGGCAAAATTCAGCTTGAAATTTTCATGTCTCAAAAAGCAGCTTATAATACATATTAGATTTATATATAGCAGTGATCGCCAAAGTGTTGATCACTAGCTATTAGCAGATCACAGGGACATTTTCGGTAGATTGTGTTAAAGCTCTGGTTAGTTAACCTTGATTCCTCCACTGAGCTCACATCAGGGGCACTGACAACAAATGTTTGTTCTCCCACACAAATGCCACCGACAGTCTCTTCTCATAGTTGATTGTATACACACGAGGTTATGCACATTATGTTTTTCATGTACATATTAGACATTTGCTTAACTTGGATAGTTTGATTTATGCAATGGTACTAAGTTAGGTCTATTCTAATGATGGCTTATTCAAGCAAAAAGCTTATCACTTTCATTCTTGGAATGGAAAACCTATTACTTCTTTAGCCAGGTAAAGGACAAATGTTTGTGTTTACTGTACTATGCAAGTGTATTAGTTGGGAAGAAAGGGATTGAATGTCACTTCGAAATTGCTCACACAGGGAATGTAAAGGATTTCCCACTGAAGTCTGCTTGCTCTAAGGAAAGAAAAGGTAAGGCAGCTAAAATCTAAACTTAATGTTAAACAATAAACTTTTTTAAAACCATTAAACAAGAGCAAAGCAGCAATTAGGTGTCATTCTGAGATTCAAATATTAATGCACAGAATAAGAAACCATACAAAGACTGTGAAATAATCAAAACTGCATTTTTAGAAGCTGCACACGCATTATTTGGTAGTTTCAAAATAAAACTGAGATAATGACTGCTATTAAATCTGCACAGCTTTCTGCAAATACAGTAAGGATAAGGGTTATGAGTTTAGATGTTACCTCACAAACTTAAAACTGACTTTGTTCACTGCATCTATTTCTACCTGCAACTTGATGAATCAACTGATATAGTTAACACGTCCCCTGCCGCGTGGGGCGTATGCACCCCACGCTAAACTTTCCGTTCAAGCCATTTGGTATTATCATTGTAAAATGAAGAATTTTTAAAAAATTCATTATGCAGTCAATTATGGGCATCTTAATACTACTGCTGATGACCTCATTTAAAACTGATATACGTTCGATAAAAAAAAATTATATGTGAGGATGCAACTTGCTTGGCATAGTAATGTTCAGCCAGGTATTTGTTAAACTAATTCCTAGAAAAATAAATTTATTGGTTTGTTATGTTATGCATGTAAACTATACAACCTTTCCTTGATAATTACGATTTTTGTGCTATTTTAATTATTGTATGGCATACGCCAGAAACAAAATAATACAAATGTAAAGCGTGGAGAGCGCGTCCCACATGGCCTGAACGGGAAGTCTTCAAAAAACGGTCTGGCAGGGAACGTGATAATACAGCTCAGTTGGCTGTTTTCGATAATTTTGAAATAAGAAGCTGGTAAAGATTATATCATTAATGGGACAGGACATATTTTTAGCAGTTAAAAATCTTATCAACTCTAAAAAAATTCTTTATGGTTGATTCGCCCTCCCCTTAAATGTCATTCACTGATATTGTTTTGTGATTTATTTACTAAGACTTTAATTTATAATTTTGTTATATTTATAGTATGCCAAAAGAATATTCACCTCATAATTTATTAATTTTCAAAATATAAAATTACACTATCAATATTCTGATGACCATTTATTACTTTCAAATCACAATCCAATAATCATACAAAAAAGTATTAAACTACAAATTTCTCTCATCTTTAATGATTGTAAATAATATTTTGAGTTGGCTGTGTGAAAATATTGAAGCCTGTCAGTTAATCAATACTTTTCACTATAACCTGTAAAAAATGTTAGCCACTTCTCTTAACACAAAAAACCTTTTTCTAAACCGATACATTATTTTTAGTTATGTTACACATGCAAATATGTTGCTCTTTGTGTATGGCCCTTAAATAGAAACTTTGATACCAAATATCTTGGTCAAATAATACCATAACAAGAGTTTTATATATATATATATATATATATATATTTTCTTTTCAACAAATACAATATTTTCGTAAATATAAGTGTAAGGACCAAAGGAATATATAAAAAAAATTAGACTCCATAATTTTTACAAAATTGATTTCTTTAAATTTTAAAATACTAAAGCATGAACATCTGTCTCATTTAAAATATTTTTGTAACTTGAAATTTAAGACCAAGAGTTTCAAAAATAAAAGCAAGGTAAGGATTTTGTGAACACAGAGGCAAACATATATTTTTGAAATCCCACAACATCCTACTATTCAATTAGCCCTTTTTATTGATGACAGTTATTCTGACACAGGCCAAAACACGTGAAAAATATTCAGTTAATTTCAGCATTATCTTGATTTCATAAGGATCAGTTACTCAATTTACTATCTACTCCTACGTTATCTGAAGTGTGACACTGGAAACAAGAATTCAGACCCCTAGATATGATGCTTGACAATAAACTTGGTTTTAGACTTCATTTTGACAAACTGAGATATAAATTTAACATTTCCATAGCTAACTTAAGACCTCTAAGAAAATATAGCAGTCTTCATAATAAAATCTTATATAAAACAATAATTCATCTAGAATTACTCTATGCCTTCTCCATACGGGAGAATACTGCCAAAACAAATCTCTACAGAATTCAAATTCTGCAAAGTAAGGCCTTTACAGAAATAGCCTGTGCTCTTTGGTTTGTAAGGAATAGCACAATATATACCAATTTAAAAATCAAGACAATCAAAACATACATTTCCTAAACTGCTCACAGTTTTTACTACAGTATTAAACATCATCACAGCTCTACAATTTCAATTCAAAACAATGAACTATAACCACTGTAACCACAAGAAAAGCATCTGTAAGCAACTAATATTCTTTTCATAACTATTAGCATCACTTTCAGGTGGCGTCATGGCATCTCCACAGAAAGAAAATTATAAATGTTTTCGCCAAACATCTCACTGCTAATTATTACACCTTACTCTTGTTATCTGCAATGGAAGATACTTCAATATACTATATATTCTTGTTTGAGATGTCAAATCTATAAGAACCTTGTATTCCATTGAATTTAAGTTGAATATTTTTTTTGTTTTCCCTGAACACATTCAGTACTCTCCCCTCCTTTTTTTAGCTATCAAAGAAATAAAGTTCAAACAAGTGATTCAAAGCTTTGTTATGCACCTGAATGTTTTTATTGAATCTTGATCTTAGCTTCTTTTTACAATCGAGGAAGAAATAATCATCATTTTTTTTCACACTCTTCAATCAATGCATTTAATGTTTTCATTAACCTTTTAACTGCCATGCCCGAAATAACCTCGGGCACAGCACTGGTATTCCAAAATGTCAAGCCCGAACATTACTTGGGGTAAATTCTTTTGAGTGTATCATATTGTTATACCCAAATATATATCGTTCGAAGTTTATCTCGGCTTCAATTCAACAGATGGCAGTACTTTACTGAAGGTTTCAAAGGATAGAGGTTAAAGTTCAAAGTGCACAGTTTTTTTACTATTATTATTTTTATTTATTATTTATTTTTTTATTGTGAGGCAAACTTTCCTTTTTGGAATAAAAAAAATTGACAATTTATGCACCCAAATCATCAAAATAACTTAACAGTTAAAAGGTTAAAAACTGTAGTATTTTCTTCTATCGGTAATAAACTCGCTTCAGGATTAAAAAATATAAAAGTTTATTGTAACAAATTAAGACTGTAAAATCATATGCGAAGCATATCTAAATGTAGAAAATACTAAAAATATATACCACATGATGTTAAATAAAAAAGAATGAAAAAGCTCATGCCAATTTTTGCATTTTCTCATTCTTTTTTTTTTAATTAGTAGCATTAATTGTTACATTTCATAAATGAGCCTATCCTACCTAGTGTCTGATCTTGTAAACAAAAATATGTACTGACACAGCACTGAGTATTAAACATTATAAACAAATTATGAATCAGCACAAAGGATTTGGGTGCTTAAATGTTAATATAAAACTCAATATTTTAACAGCATTGAAATTTGTATTTTATTTAAAATATCAGTTGCTAATAAAAATATTTTAAGGCATAATAAACCTCCTAAACAGTAAGGAGAGGAGTTCACCTACCTGTTTGGAATATTAACATTAATAACATTAGTTTCTGTAAATTCTCCTTTATCATTGGTGCAACATGCTAATATGAATCTCTTGTCTTTTGTTAAACAATATGAACAATACAGTACACCCGAATTTTCCCGTCTGTCACCAAACATTTCTCCCAATTCAGCTTGTTTATCTTTAACAGATGCTAGGATAAATGGCCGATTATACATTTTCATTGGCTGCTCCATTTTGTCCTGAAGATAAAAGGGGGAAAACAATTATTTTAAAATGCATATATAAGACTTGCACATCAATAGCTATATATACATATATATGTAAGATATAATAAAATACCATGGCTATGCTAAGAAATAATTGGCAACCTCAAAACTGACTATTCTAAATTTTAGGTTTTTCCCCTAACTTCATTTTTTCTCCCAAATTCGAGATCTTTCCAAAACCATATGACACTTACATAACACTGCTTGTAAAGAGATCACAGCTTATCTGTACATAAGCACCGGCCTAGTATAAATACTGCTTCGCGAGCAATTACATCACATTTTCTTATTTTCTCCTGCCTTGCAAAACATCTCTGCACTTTTTAAAATTTTATTTTACTGCAAAATGACAAATAAGGCATTCAAGAAAGAAGAATAGATTAAAAGATTTTATCTATACAAGAACGGGAGAAATTTACTTTCGTTCAACATGCCCTGCACATGCGCATGTGAATCTCTGGATTCTCAAGGTTATTGAAAGCCAAAGATGCTGGAAGCTTGCTTTGTCTTTCTAAAAGACAATCTGACTGGCGCTGCAAAAATTGGTTCTACACCAATTGCCCAAATGACACTCACGCGATATGTTGTTTTTCACCAAGAAAGTGATCGCTTCCACTTTCTTGGTGAAAGGTTATTGGTGCGATAATTGCTTTTTGGAGGATCACCATATGAAATTCCCTGACTTTTCCAGATTTTGACTAAATTTAAATCCCCTGACTTTTCCTGGTTTTATGGGTTTTCCAGGAAGCGTGGCAAACCTGTTTATAACATATTTTGACTGAAGAATTTATTTTATTAAGCTAGTTATTTAGTTTTTTTTTTTTTTTTTTTTTTTTTTTTTTTTTTAAGTTGTTGCAGAAGAATCCATATTTTGAAGTACCTATTCTGTTTCTTTTTAATATTAATTTTAAAGTCATTAACATGTGTCAAAAATTTATTTGCCCACAAATTTCCAGATATTTCATTCCGAATTACATGCACCTTGTAACTGATTGGCGTATTCTGTATAAGAAACAGGCAAGTTTACTTCAGCAACAAATAGAGATAGATTCTTAAAAAAAGCAAAGTTTTTTTTTTTTTTTTTTTTGACATTAAAAAATATGAAAATGAAAAGAAAAAGAAAAAAGATATAATGAGAAACAGACTTAAAAACTTCTTTAACTTTTTTATAAAGAGAAAGGGACTTGAGAACAGAAACATTTTCTTTTACTGAATTTGAAGTAATCACCTTTTATGATTTTCAAATTTAATAAAAAAAATACACTAAAATAATGTTTCAGCATTATTTTAGCGTCATTAATTCACCTGTACATGCAAAGAACATTAAGGCAGAATTAGTGTAGGGATTCAGTTTAAGGGAAACCTTACTACTGGAGTTTTTGTAAACATATTATTTTATTTATTTACTTTTCACATTTAAAAAATTACTTCAAAAGTAATTACTGAGATACAATTTTTTCCAGAAAATTTTTTTAATAATAAAATATAATTCAACTGAAAATAGTTGCTTTATTTTCCCTAAAATTCCCTTATTTTATTTCCCCATTGCGTTTTTCTCTTAAACTTATCATAATTTTCTTTATATATAATTATATTAAAAAATACTATAGACTCATATTCAATAATCTTCATTAAATGATTCTTAAGTGCTATTTTTAGCTGGTTATTTAAACGCAAACTATCCAAATTTATTGCATAAATTTGAAAGGGGAAATGTAAATGACACCTAGAAGGACATGACCTATTAATTATGAAATTCAATTATTATTGAAGTGGTACTGAGATAAGTGAATTTTATTGTACGCAGAAAAATTTAAAAACAAAGAAATCTGATACGAGTTCTCTTCAGATTAAACATATTAAATTTTCTGTATCTCGGAATAATTGCATAATTTTGAAAGATTCTTCAATCAGTTTTAAACTTTACTAGGTAAACAATACACATTACTAATTATGAGACAGGATTTTAATATTTTTTATGCACCCAAATCATACAAGTTTAAAGCTCAACATGGCCTGAGCTAAATAATTTTTAATCCCCTAATTATCTCATTAATTAAATCGCACTAAAAGGCTTTCTGTATGCATAAAAATACAGTTAAAGCATAACTATCTGGAAGGCTTAGAAAGTGCTGGATAAGTGAAAATGTTCAATAGATGAATGCATAAAAAATACAAGTATAAATGGTAAAAATGCCAAAAAAAGGTAACAAGAAACTAAATTTCTGGTCTAAAATTATAAAAAAGGGAATCACATTTGTTATCAACTTCAATACCAAAAACCTATGTTAAACATTTTATATACAATTACAAAATTCTATTGACGATTAAATCTGGCAGAGATCCCGCAAAACTACACCAATTATACTGGTAGAAATTTAAAAGAACTGATCACTCTTAATTTAGTTAGATAAACAAGAGATACAAGTTAAGGATATATGTTACATCCATAATGTACATGTAACATATATAAAACTTAAATCCACTTGTCATAATTTTACACACTCCATTTGCCACTGTTTATCCATTTTTCAAATAAAGTCACATATTACGCCCATTAAAACATATATATTTTTTTTTTATCCTGTAATTTTGAAAATACCTAGCACTGTAAGCCCCAAATTTTATTCATTTATTTACTTTTAAATACAGAGAGAAAAGAGATGAATAATAGTTGACTTACATCCTTTATCACAGAAACCAAACTACTAATATCAAGATATAATTTGGTTTATATAAAGTGAACATGAAAAATCTTATGGTTATACTGATGTCATGCTTATCTGTCATTGGTGCTAAATCACACTGTTTGGCAACTTCCCCCCCCCCCGTCTCGAGTCATAGTTTAATACATGTTCTATGATGGTATTTCAAATATGTTCTATGATGTACATGTTCTATGATGGTATTTATACATATATATGTTCTATGATGGTATTTCTATGATGGTATTTCAAATACAGAGAGAAAAGAGATGAATAATAGTTGACTTACATCCTTTACCACAGAAACCAAACTACTAATATCAAGATATAATTTGGTTTATATAAAGTGAACATGAAAAATCTTATGGTTATACTGATGTCATGCTTATCTGTCATTGGTGCTAAATCACACTGTTTGGCAACTTCCCCCCCCCGTCTCAAGTCATAGTTTAATACATGTTCTATGATGGTATTTCAAGTCTCATTTGTTGTTTAATATTTCGTTTACAAAAATTCCAAAATTAAAAAAACATTTTAGTATTTGAGCTTTCTAATTAAATGAATGCTGGATATTCAGGCTTTTACTGTAAAAAAAAAAGGGGAGGGGGCACACTATATAAATAGTTTAGTTATACTTTCACATAAGGATAATCTTTTTCTTAAATATGAATTTGACATTTGGGCTGAATATCAAAATTTACCAAACAATTCTTTATTTTGCCAAATTAATTGTTTTCTAGACAGCATTTACAATTTAAAATTTGCATACAGCATGCATTTTCTATCCCTTATATAGCAAAATATGATATCTTCCACATATTTATAAAAATTCTGTAAAAGTTTCAGCAAACTCTGATAACTGCAATAATTTTTGATTATTCAATACAAACAATACTTCAAGAATACATACTTACATAATACAAAAGTATTATAAAATGAATAAATAAACAAATATTAGCATTAACACTTATTATTTTAATGAGACTTATTAATGAATAATCATAATGAAAAAAACGGTATACTAATATCAGAATTGTATAAACTGGCCGATTTTAGAATAAACTGATTGGTAATTCAAAATCCCTGTCTCAGAATTCTCACTTATACTTTGAACAATGTAACATAAAACTCATTATATTGCATACTTCCTGCTTATAGAAGAATGACATTGCTTAAAACACAAATGCAATAAAAATTCAATGTTAGAAACTTAGCCATCTGCATATGACTCCTACTAATTTAGGTCTAACAGAAAAAAGCATAACAGTTATAAAAAATCCAGAAAATAATTTTACATTTTTACTTAACTTGATTAATGTTAAGACACAATAACACGCCGAATAAATACTAATTCAGAAGTCAAACAACAAAAATCAGCGTTAATTTACAAAATTTTCACAGGACTAGTTTCGATGGTTTTACCGAACCATCATCTTCAGCTGCAAAACCGCAAATGAACAAGATACTGTCTGTCTACGGTAAGAAAACCTCCCGCCACGGTGTCTGGCGGATGGCGGTCGCTATAGCAACAGGGCTAGTATATTTCAAATAGGGACGAACCAAGGGTTGCTTTATTGTTATTTTATTTTTGGCGACTGTTGGCTGAAGGGAAAAGAGTTTATCATTCGTCTTCTTGGTTTCATTCCAGCTGCACGCATCTTTTCTTAAGCCTTATATTATTATTATTAGCTATTTTTATTTTCGTTGTTATATCTTTTGTACTGGTATTTGTTCAAATTTGCTTCTATTTAGCTTGATTTTCATAGTGCTTTGTTAATCGCCAATTTTTTAAAATGCCCTTCCAGTTTAAGAAAGGTCAACCTTTAAAGTCTCAGGCACGTCAAATCGTGTACAATGTCGCAGAATTTTGTGCGCTTCTGAAGCTTCGGCGAACTCTTTAGTAGTTCCTCTTCCTCAAGTTTTGAAGAGAACGTCGCAAGCTACTGGAGTATCGGAGTATACAATTAAAAAAATTAAGCGCGAAGTATCAACAATGGGGGAAGATCAAACTTCTAAATACGCCTGGAAAGAAAACGTAAAAGCCCTGCTAATCATAAGTGCGAAATTGACGATTTTGACAAATGCGTTATACGGCAGACTATACAAGACTTTTACATCAAAGAAAAGAAAGTGCCATCTGTGCGGAAATTATTGCCTGTCTTGAGGCAAAAAATAGACTTCCCGTGGCAAAAAGACTCATTGTGCAAAGTTTTGCGTTCGATGAATTTTCGCTGGAAGAAATGTGTTAACAAAAGAAAAATTCTTATC